ATTTTACTTATTTTGAAATTATTTCCTAGTGTAGACGATGGCCTCGAGGATTACCTGCTCGGTTCATTCCCTCTGCGGCACGTGGCATTGGCCGCTGTCGGCAGACAGGATACTGGGCTAGATGAACCTTTGGTCTGACCCTGTATGGCTGTTCTTATGTTTGTAGGGTTGTATAAATACATACATTTTCCCATTCATCTCATTCATGTTAATCTAGTGGTGCTTCACCCAGGGTGAAAGGCATTTTTGTCCACATGGTCACCACAACACCTATGTCCCAGTTAAACCCTATTTTGAGAGCCAGCTTAATTTGTTCTTAAGCAGCCCTCTGTACAGGAGTAAATTTCACTGCAGGATTACAGCCAATTAAACATCTGATTCTGCTAACATGCAAGTTTTACTGAGGTTTACCTCTAATGGGAAGCAGCATGGCTTAGAGGCCAGTGCTAGACAGGAACTTAGGAGACAAGGATTCTATTCCCACCCCCACCATTAGGTGCACCTGGGCACGTCATTTTATATCTCTGTACCTCAATTTCCTCTTCTATAAAAATGGGGGTAATGATGTGCACTTTCTTTGCAAAGCACTTTGAGATCTATGAATGACTAGCACTAGATAAGAAGTATGGTTTCTAAATTTTATTTCTATTTTACTCTCACCAGCAGAATTATTCAACTTTAAGTGAAAGGAGAATCAAATCATTCTCCCTCCTACCTCCCTCAACTGCATGCTGAATAACCTAACTGCAAATCTGGGTTCTTGGGAAAACAATTTTCACATTTTCATGTCTGTTTTTTTCATGTTTTGCCCAGATAGGTTTTGATTTGTTTTAAATATATTTAAGTCAAGCTCTTTTCTAAATCACCTGCATGCTGTTAAAGAGCGTTGTGAGTAAGATTATGGCTTTTCAATAAAACACCAACTGCAGATGGAAAAATTCATCTTGAAAGAGAAGGGTTTAGGTGGGTGTCTGAAACTGCATTGTGGAGGAGGGTGTGGCAGATCCCATAGAAGAAATTGTTCCTTGTAGAATGACTTGTGGGGATTGGAGTCAACCACCTGCTTCCAAGCCAGGAAGAGTACGTCTAGACTACAGGGTTTTGTCGACGGAAGTTTTGTCGACAGATACTGTCGACAAAACTTCTGTCGGCATAGAGCGACAGAACTGAATGTGTCTAGACGCTCTATGCCGACAGAAGTTTTGTCGACAGTATCTGTCGACAAAACTTCCGTCGACAAAACCCTGTAGTCTAGACGCAACCCTACAGGCAATAACACCTTCTGTCGACAGAACTCTGTCGACAGAAGGTGTTATACCTCGTAAAATGAGGTTTACCAGCGTCGACAAAACTACTGAGTTCTGTCGACGTTATGTTGACAGAACTCATTGGTAGTGTAGACGCTGGTATAGTTTTGTCGACAAAAGTCCACTTTTGTCGACAAAACTCAGTAGTCTAGACGCACCCGAAGGCTTAATTACACGTCGTTTTCATTAGGTCTAAATCCCAGGGTGGATCCTTATACCTCCTGCTCACCTGGTTGTAATATTTCGTAGAGGAAACATTCTCTTAACTTTGCCAGGCAGGTAATAATAGCTAGTGAGGAGATGTATTAAAATATACTGGCTTTGTGCATCTTAGAATGGGGTATGGTGGCCATTTTAAGTATCAGATCAAAACCACTCCCGTGTCTTCCCACCATGAAGCATCCATTGGGGTGAGATTAGTTCTTTAATGTCTTTTACTCTTCCTGTTCACTCAGATATTCATCAGCAGTTCAAAAGAAACTTGTGCCTAGAATGCCATGTAAGAAAAAAACCCCAACAACAAATCCTTCAAAATCACACAGCAGCACTTGGCAGCACCCATGTGCAGGGAGAGCACAGTGGCATCTATTAAGCCTTTTACCAGGTGCAACATGTTTCCCCTACATCTTGCTCCCCGCTTCCTTACCTGTGGGGTTTCTGGCAATACTATCAGGACTAGAGCCCCACACTTAGTGTCAGTGAGGATGCACAATTCACTGCTGTGCAGACAGCTAGCTCAAGGCTAGGGGCGGCAGGTTTGCAGAAGTTCTAAATACATGAGAGTGTGAGGGGTTGGGCTCCGGGAAATTATGTGGGTATGGAATTGAGTTTGGATGCTGAGTGCAGGCTCTGGGATGGGATGCAGGAGAAGATGAGAGGTACAGGCTCTGGGTGGGAGTTTGGGAGCTGGAGGAGGTACAGGAAGAGGAGGCATATGGGAGGGAGTTTGGGGGAGAGGAGGTGCAAGCTCTGAGAGGAAGTGGGGTGCAGGAGGGAGTGTGAGAGGAGGGGATGGGTGGGGGCACTTACTTGGAGGATCCCTCTCTGGCAGCAGTTCCTAAGTGTGGGAAGTGGGGTGGTCTCTGCACACTGCTGCCCACAGGAGCTATCTCTATAGCTCCTGTTGGCTCCTGAGAGAGGAGCAGTTCATGGAGATGCTCCCCTGCCGAGGGCTGCAGAGATGCACATACTGGAAGAGGCAGAAAGTGAGTAGCCAGAAGCTGCTTTAGGATCTCTGCACTGTCAGGGGCCTGCAGACCATTTTAAGTCACCCAAGGGCAACAGGCAGTCCAGGAGCTACTTGGCGGGGGGAGGGGAGGGGCAGAGGACACAGGGGCTGCTGGCAGAGCCAGGGGAAGACCTGGCCCCAAACTTTGGTGGAACTGGGCCAGGAATATCCCTTGTGCCCAGGCACTATGCGCCCATAGAACTCACAGCCCATGCTCAAGACCTAATCTCTGAAATCTGCAAACCAAACCTACTGCTTTTCTTACAGGAAAGATGAAAGTC